ATCATAAACCGAATATCGGGGGGTACCGTTATATGGGGGCTTCAGTAAGACGTGGACCTGCACAGATAATTTTCTGTCTTAGGCTGTAGCATCCATTGCAAACTTCAAATGCCAAATTTGAAATAATTCCGGTGAATAAGGTCGCTAAAATCATCAAAATACCGATTATCGGGAGGTACCGTTATATGGGGGATATATGATAACTTGGACCTGCACAGATAATTTTCTGTCTTAGGCTGTAGCATCCATTGCAAACTTCAAATGCCAAATTTGAAACAATCCCTGTAAATAACGTCGCTAAAATCATTAAAATACCGAATATCGGGGGGTACCGTTATATGGGGGCTATATGAAGACGTGGACCTACATGGATCATTCTTTGACTTTGGATGAAGTATCCATTACGAACTTCAAATACCAAATTTGAAACAATTCCGGAAAACAATGTCGCTAAAATCATCAAAATACCGAATATCGGGGGGTACCGTTATATGGGGGCTATATGAAGACGTGGACCTACATTTCTCATTTTTTGATTTAGGATGTAGTATCCATTACGAACTTCAAATACCAAATTTGAAACGATTCCGGTAAACAATGTCGCTAAAATCATCAAAAACCGAATATCGGGGGGTACCGTTATATGGGGGCTTCAGTAAGACGTGGACCTGCACAGATAATTTTCTGTCTTAGGCTGTAGCATCCATTGCAAACTTCAAATGCCAAATTTGAAATAATTCCGGTGAATAAGGTCGCTAAAATCATCAAAATACCGAATATCGGGAGGTACCGTTATATGGGGGCTATATGATAACTTGGACCTACATGGCCCATTTTCGAACTTAACCTGCCTACTGGGAAAAAATACATGTGTGCAAAAATACATAAAATCTATAAATAACAGTTTTATCCGTTGTCGCTTTATACTACCCAAAAAATCTACACATTATATTAGAATTCAAAAAAAAAAAACCAGTAAGGAAAGCTCAAAAGTCGGGCGGGGCCGACTATATGATACCCTACACCACTATGCATATTTAGTAGAGCTCTCGTAAAAAGGTTTATACAGGGCATTTCAGAGCTCTATGAGATATTTGGTACAAAATCAAAATCTATCTAATTCTATCGTGCATTTTACGAACTATAGCTATCTCTGAACCGGGGTTCTCCAAATTTTACGTATTAGCTTCTAGACTGGTGATTTGGGCTGATATTGACCATTTAGTGCACATTTAACCCGAAATCGGATGAAGATATATATGAGAGCTATATCCAAATCTGAACCGATTTCGATAAAATTTAAAACAGCTATTCCTGTGCTCCATCTAATACCTGGTACCAAATATCACGGTTGTGGAGTGAATATTACAAATGTATGGGACTAAAACTCTAAATCGGATGAAACATATATATGGTTGCTATATCTATATCTGAACCGATTTTCACTAAATTTGATATACTTGCTTCTAGGCTGAATTTGGTCCGATGTACTAAAACTCAGTCCATTTGGACTTATATCGGCCATTTGGTGCACAATTAACCCGAAATCGGATGAAGATATATATGGGAGCTATATCCAAATCTGAACCGATTTCGATAAAATTAAAAACAGCTATTTCTGGGCTCTATCTTATATCTGGTACCAAATATCATTCTTGTGGAGTGCATATTACGAATGTGAGAGGCTTAAACACCAAATCGGATGAAAGATATATATGGGAGCTATAGCTATATCTAAACCGATTTTCTCCAAATTTGATATACTTGCTTCTAGGCCGAACTCGGTTGGGTGTGCCAAAATTCAGGTAATTTTGACTGATAGTGGACATTTAGTGCACATTTAACCCGAAATCGGATGAATATATATATGGGAGCAATAGATGTTTCTGAACCGATTTTCTCCAAATTTGTTGTATTTGCTTTAAGGCTAATCTCGGTCACATGTGCCAAAATTCAGTCCATTTGGACTTATATCGGCCATTTGGTGCACAATTAACCCGAAATCGGATGAAGATATATATGGGAGCTATATCCAAATCTGAACCGATTTCGATAAAATTACAAACAGCTATTTCTGTTCTGTATCTTATATCTGGTACCAAATATCATTCTTGTGTAGTGCATATTACGAATGTGAGAGGCTTAAACACCAAATCGGATGAAAGATATATATGGGAGCTATAGCTATATCTGAACCGATTTTCTCCAAATTTGATATACTTGCTTCTAGGCCGAACTCGGTTGGGTGTGCCAAAATTCAGGTAATTTTGACTGATAGTGGACATTTAGTGCACATTTAACCCGAAATCGGATGAATATATATATGGGAGCTATAGACGTTTCTGAACCGATTTTCTCTAAATTTGTTGTATTTGCTTTAAGGCTAATCTCGGTCACATGTGCCAAAATTCGGGCCATTTGGGATGATATTGGCCATTTGGTGGTCAATTAACCCGAAATCGGATGAAGATATATATGGGAGCTATATCCAAATCTGAACCGATTTCGATAAAATTTAAAACAGCTATTTCTGTGCTCCATCTAATACCTGGTACCAAATATCACGGTTGTGGAGTGCATAGTAGGAATGTGAGGGACTTAAAGATCAAATCGGATGAAAGTTATATATGGGAGCTATAGCTATATCTGAACCGATTTTCTCCAAATTTGATATACTTGCTTCTAGGCCGAACTCGGTTGGGTGTGCCAAAATTCAGGTAATTTGGACTGATAGTGGATATTTGGTGCACATTTAACCCGAAATCGGATGAAGATATATATGGGAGCTGTATCTAAATTTGATCCGATTCTCACCAATTTCAATAGGGTTCGTCCTTGGGCCAAAAAAATATTGTTTGGAAAATTTCATCTCATAATAATAAATGCGACCTGCATTTTGTTCACAAGAATACATGGACAGACGGACGGACGGACGGACGGACAGACGGACTGACATGCATAAATCGACTCAGAAAGTGATTCTATGAAAGTTCTCAAAAGTAACTATGGGTCTATCTCGTTTCCTTCTCCATGTTACAAACAAATGCACAAAGACATAATACCCTTACCACTATGTGGTGTAGGGTATAAAAAAAAACACTACAAATGTACATTCGAAAATAGTAAGTCAAAATGGAAAAAAAATCATGCAAAATAAAACATTACTATTGTACATTTTAAAAGTCAAAATGAAAATGTTCAAAATTTCACATTTTTACGCGATTTTTTTTTTTTGTTTTTTGGATTTTATGCTTTTCTGCCAAGAGGCAATTTCGAATTTGTCTGAATCGTTAAAATCAGACCGGCGGTCTTTATGTTATAAGCGTAGTAACTAACATAACTTTCTTTTACATATAGAGAGACAGATTTAAAAGCAGGCGCGTTCCTCAGCCCCTAAATTAAACCTTACGGTTGGTTGGAAAGCCAACAGTATCTCGTGTAATAATTCTCAAACCGATATCTTCATTAATTTGGCAAATATAAGGATTTTAGATAAATCGAAATAGTGGGCGTAAAAGTAGGCGTGGTCAATATTTTTATACCCTCCACCATACTATGGAGGGTATATTAATTTTGTCATTCCGTTTGTAACTCCTCGAAATATTCATGTCAGACCCAACAAAGTACATATATTCTTGATCAGCGTAAAATTCTAAGGCGATTTAGCCATGTCCGTCGGTCTGTCTGTCTGTTGTAATCACGCTATCTTTCGAACAAATTGAGATAGAAGGCTAAAATTTTGCACACATGTATTTTTTCCCAGTAGGCAGGTTAAGTTCATAAATGGGCCATGTAGGTCCAAGTTATCATATAGCCCCCATATAACGGTACCTCCCGATATTCGGTATTTTGATGATTTTAGCGACATTATTCACCGGAATTATTTCAAATTTGGCATTTGAAGTTTGCAATGGATGCTACAGCCTAAGACAGAATATTATCTGTGCAGGTCCACTCTTCCTGTAGCCCCCATATAACGGTACCCCCGATATTCGGTTTTTGATGATTTTAGCGACATTGTTTACCGGAATCGTTTCAAATTTGGTATTTGAAGTTCGTAATGGATACTTCATCCAAAGTCAAAGAATGATCCATGTAGGTCCACGTCATCATATAGCCCCCATATAATGGTACCCCCGATATTCGGTATTTTAATGATTTTAGAGACGTTATTTACAGGGATTGTTTCAAATTTCGTATGTGAAGTTCGTAATGGATACTTCCGCCCATGCCAGAAAATTGTCTGTGCAGGTCCACGTCTTCGTATAGCCCCCATATAACGGTACCCCCCATATTCGGTATTTTGACGATTTTAGCTACATTATAAACAGATTTTTCTTCAAGTTTCGCATTTAAATATTGTAATAATTTATGACAAAAGTTGCCTATGCAGGCCCACGTCGTCGTATAAGCATTCGGTATTTTTAAGATTTTAACAGAATTTTTAACGGGTTTTATTTTTTGGAAATTGCCAAATTTGTACCAAATGGTGGAGGGTATTAAAAGTTCGGCCCGGCCGAACTTACAGCTTTTTTACTTGTTTTCTTTAAAAACCTAACTCGGGGTATAACGAATGTTTGTACAAAAAATTATTCAAATCGGTGCACCCGTTCTCAACTGATACCGTTACCAACGAACAACAATTGATTTGTATATATATAGATTGTAGAATTTTTAACAAAAGTCATACAAATGCAAAGTATTATTGAAATAATTGATTTTTAGTCTTTTTCGTATTGTAAATCTATTTTTAAAACTGAAAAAATTATGAAAAATTCTTGATCTACAAAAACAACATATTTTTTAATTTAGATTCTATAAACATTTGATCTGCTCTTTAATATCTCCACACAAAATAACAATTTCACATTTCAACTCCATAACATTTCAGAACCTGAAAGAATCATCAAATCATTTAACGGGAAAATGCCAAGCTGTTAGATTCTTTCAGATTCTGGAACAAAACAATAAAATATTAATAAAAATAACATTGAAATTACCCCATATCGGATGGATCCTCGGGTTCGTAGGGATATTCATCAGAGTCTTCTCGACCTGAATGCCACCACGCAATGCACCATTCCTTTATGCTCCCCAGACATGGATATGTACCTTTAGTTTTTTGAATACTCTTTATCTGTAAAAATTGTTTGGAATTGAATTCAATAATTAGATGAGACCAGTTAACCGACATTAATCGGTATGTATAAGTATATAAAGTTCTACAATAATACAAACGCTATAATTCAACACCAACCAACCTATGAGAATTAGTTGTAAGATAAGTATATATAATCAGAAATAGGTGACAATCAGAATTTTTTTTACAATGTTACAAAAATAACAGAATGGCGAATCTTGACTATTTAAATAAAATACATAACATATTCGTGTTTTATTTATTACAAAGCAACACCCGACCTGTCGTACACAACAAGTAAAAACACGATAAGTTCGACCGGGCCGAACTTTTAACACCCTCCACTAAGTTTATAAACCATCCATAATATGGTGAAGGGTATAAGAACAGAAGAGGTAAAAAAGTAGTAAGTTCGGGCCAAACTATTGATACCCTCCACCATGATATTGGGACCTATATCAACAATTTTTTGTAAAACAGTTAGGCACCGTTTAGAAACTTCAAATACAAAAATTCAGAAAATTCAGCAGTGTACCAAATTTCAGCACTATGTCTCAAATCTTTCTGAAAATAACGGGATTAGAACAGACAGACAGATATGGTAAATCGGAATAAAATGATTAATTCTTGTTGGATCTAAAATTATTAATACGATGAGTTACGTTCGGTATGAAAAACCTAATATACCCCCAATGTTATGGTAGAGGGAATAAAATATTAAAATATATGGTATATTTCAAAACCCGTAAGAAATGCCAAGATTTTCAGTGAGAAATGAGTATCCAAGGCAATGTTTGACAGTTGTAATTACATACAAATCAATTTACTAACCCAATAACCCAACAAGTTAAAAAGTGTCAGTCGGTATTGCCGACAGATATATACCCTTAGCCTATGTTCGATTATTTAAATATATGTTGTCTAGTTTTACTACTATTCAAACGTTTGACCCTCTATGGAGCAGGTTCCGAAGGAATGGACCAATATTGTCAATTTCGAATCGGACTCCAAAAATATGATATAAATATTGCGATGTTCCTGGTATGGATTATATCGACTTACTCCTTCACTTTATATGAGATATGTAATAATTTTTAGAAATTCTTAAAATGTGCGTGATGTACCAGATAGAGTCTAACGAAATATTCCATTTTTATACTTCATTTAATACTAATAAAAAATATTGAGCGAATTACAAGAATAGATATTCATGTCCAATTTTATGCGAAATCATAAATTCCGATAAATTTCATATTCATATCAAGCTTCTTATTGACAGAAATATTTGGGCATAACATGTTCGAAAGTTATGACAGATAAAATTATTGAAAATTGTGACCATTTGTGGGTGATATGTCAGAAGGGGTTCGCAGATATATATCAACTTCGCAACAGATCTGGTGTTAGCAAAAATTTGTGTATGTGTGAAATTTGCAGGAGTTGGATGCTTATTTCGCTTTATTTGAGCGTTTTGTTTTTCAAAATCATGAACCCTATGTATGGGGGAGGTACCAGAAAAAGGGTTCGATCTATACCATATTTATAACAGATCTTGTGCTGATAGAAATATTCAGATGTACCAAGCCTAAATGGAATCTGATGTAATTTGGCGTTTTATGAGCTTCATGGGTATTCAACATTTCGACATTTTGTGGGGGAGGTACCAGAAGGAGTGGACCGATATATTCCATGTTAACGCCAGATCTTGGGCTTAGAAAAATATTGGGATGTGTAAAATTTTAAGACGTTGGGATACTTACATCACATTTTATAAGAGTTTTAATTATTCAAAATGACCCTTTGTGGGGGAGGTACTTGATGGAGTGGACCGATATATATTTCGCACCGACCTAGCACTGACGCAAATATTAGGATTTGCAAAGTTGGAGCAAAATCATGTAATTGTTTCTCTTATTTCACATTTTATAAGAGTTATAATTATTCAAAATGTTGACCTTTTGTGGGGGAGGTACTTGATGGAGTCCACCGATATTGTCCATTTTCGTACTTTTCCTTGCACTGTTGAAAAGATTAGAATTTGCAAAGTTGGGGCAAAATCGAATCATCCTTTCTCATTCTGTGCAGAAAATGTATTTTTTGAAAATTTCGACCTTTTGTGGGGAAGGTACTAGAAGGAGTGTATCGATATTACCCATCTCCGAACTCGATCTAAGTTTGACAAAAATATTACGATGTAGCAAGTTTGGACCCAATCGGGGACTCCCTTCGACAGTTATCGTGCGCACCAGCCGGACAGACAGACGGACGGACTGACATCGCTAGATCGACTGTAAATGTCCTGAAACGGATTTGGTAATAAGAGACCTAGGGTCTAAAACCATTATTTCGACTAGACACGTTTTGACCGTATCAAATGGAATTAAAATAATTCCAGTGACAGCTCATTATTTTGATTACCAGTGTACAAAAGCATTTTGGTGAGCATTTTCCAGAAAAAAAAAGTTATTCGTGATAGAGTGATTTCCTTTTATTTGGCTGGAAAACCACAAGTGGCTATCGTTAGAGCAATCCAGCATTTAAATGTGAATAAATCTTTTGTGTTACGTTACGTTAGGGAAGTGGGCGGAAGAAAACAGCAACATCAGCAGAAATGGTTCGAAAAGTCAAGAAACGACTTGATAGAAACCCGCGTCGTAGTGGCCGAAAAATGGCCCGTGAGCTGAACATATCGCAATATTCCAATCGGCAAGTATTGAAATATGAGGTCGGGGTAAAGCCATTGAAATTCCAAAAAGTGCAAGAACTTACACCACAAAAGAAAGAAAATAGACTCAAAAGAGCTAAAGACTTGCTTCGCTTGACCGAAAGTGGTGAACTGCCGATGAGAAAACATTCGTTGTCCAGCAGTTTGTAAACGAAAAAAATGATCGTGTTACTTGCCAAAGTCAGCTGAAAAATGTGCACCTTCGGTTGGCCACCAGAACTCAAGCACCGGCCATGGTGATGGTGTGGGCCGCCGTAACAACCGATGGTCGCTCTCCGCTCGTATTAATCGACCGTGGCATCAGAATAAATGCCGAATATTATCGCGAAAATATTCTGAAGAGTGTATTAAAGCCTTGGGCATGCATGCATCGCACTCATCACACCCCACTCAAAAATGTTTACAAATTGAGGTACAAGTTGAGGTTCCTGTCTGTGCAGGTCCACGTTTTGGTACTGCCCCCATGTACCTCTCTTTATTCGGTATTTTCATGATTCACCGGTTTGTATACCTTCCACCATACATAGTATTGAGGGTATATTAAGTTCGTCATTCCGTTTGTAACTCATCGAAATAATAATTTTAGATTCAACAAAGTGTATATATTCTTGATCAGCGTAAAATTCTAAGAAGATTTAGCCCTGTCCGTCCGTCCGTCTGTTGTAATCACGCTACAGTTAAAACGAATTAAGATAGGAAGCTAACACTTTGCACAGATCTGTCTTTTGACTACAAGCAGGTCAAGTTCGAAGATGGGCTATATCGGTCCACGATATTGTATAATCGGTATTTTGATGATTTTAGCCCCATTTTTAAGAGAATTGTCTGAAATTCTACACAAGAAGTTCTTTTTGTGAGTACTTTACCCCCTAAAAGAGAATTATCTATATAGGTCCCCGATATCGTATAGCCCCCATATAACGGTACACCCCGATATTCGGTTATTTTGGTGATTTTACCCACAGTTTTCAACGGAATTGTCTGAAATTCTGCACAAGTAGTTCATTGTGAGCACTTTACCCCCTGAAAGTACATTGTTTATATAGGTCCACGATATCGTATAGCACCCATATAACGCTACACCCCGATATTCGGTTATTTTGGTGATTTTAGCCAAAGTTTTCAACGGGATTGTCTGAAATTTCACACAAGGAGTTCCTTGTGAGTACTTTATACCCTGAAAGAGAATTGCCTGCATAGGTCCACAATATCGTATAGCCCCCATATAACGGTACCCCCCACATATTCGTTATTTTCATGATTTTAGACACATTTTTCAATGGAAGTGTCTGAAATTCCAAACAAGAAGTTCATTGTGGGTACTTTTCCCCCTGAAAGAGAATTGTCTATATAGGTGCACAATATCGTATATCCCCAGTATAACGGTACCTCTCTATATTCGGTATTTTGATGATTTTAGCCACATTTTTCAATGAAATTGTCTGAAATTCCACACAAAAAGTTCATTGAGAGTACTTTACCCTCTGAAAGAGAAATATCTATATAGGTCCGAGGAGTTCTTTGTGAGTACTTAACTCCCAGACATAGATTTGTTCATATGGGTCCAGATTATCGTATACTCCCCCCCCCCCCCCCCCCAAAATATAGCGGCATCTTCCGATATTTGATATTTTTAAGATTTTAACAGAATTTTTAACGGATTTTATTCTTTGAAAATTTCCAAATTCGCTGGTGGAGGGTATTCAAAGTTCGGCCCGGCCGAACTTACTGCTTTTTAACTTGCTTTTTCAAGTTTAGCATTTGAATATTGTAATGGCTTATGACAAAGGATGCATATGCAGGTCCACGTCGTCGTATAGACCCTAATATTGGTATTTTTATACCCTCCACCTTGGAAAGGAGGGTCTATTAACTTTGTCATTCGGTTTGTAACATCCCTAAATATTCATCGTAGACCCCATAAAGTATAAATATCTATAATCAGCATGGAATTCCAAGTTGTTTAACGATGTCCGTCTGACTGCCTTTTTGTCCGTCTGTCTGTCTGTTGAAATCACGATACGGCCACATTATTAATTTAACAGAACAGTTTGTATTGTGCCTAGGATGGTTGGTATTGAAAATGAGATATATCGGTACACGTTTTGGCATATCCCCCATATAACGGTACCTCCCGATATTCGGTATTTTAATGATTTTTGCAACATTTCTTCACGGATTTGTCTAAAAATCGGTATTTGTAGATTATAATGGGTTCTAGCTCGTTTGGCAAAACATTGTATGTATAGGTCTACGTTTTGGTATAGCCTCC